AATACAGCCCAAAGTGGGTAATAAGCTCCATCTCAGGCTAAGTACTAGCATGACACTGAATGTCAACAAGTACTGTAGAAGAAAGTTGAAAAGAACTTTGAGAAAGCGACTGGGCGGGGCATGGGCTTTTGAAACCTCAAAGCCCACCCCCAGTGACACTCCCTCCAGTAAGACCACTCCTAATCCTTCTAATCCTTCTCAAATAGTATCATTCCCTGCTGACTAAGCATTCAAATATACGAGCCTATGGGGGCCATTCTTATATACCACAGCAGCTTTCGTTTTTCAAGGTGAGCTGGGTGACCATTATTTAGCATAATCCCCATCCCAGAGGTATTATCTGGAATACAGCAATGCTGGTAGTGAACCACACAGTTCTCTGCTGCCTTTGTCAGTCTCCATTCTATAAACATTCTGGCCTTGTGGCCTAAGCTGTTGTTCGTAACAAAGCTTTGAAAGATGATGAGGACCTGGACAAAGAAAATGCCATACTTTAACAGGTGACAGATTAATGACCCAGCATGTACATGCTTTTAGTTCCCTTGTGGTGGTCCCTACCTCTTCACTGCGGGGATGGGGGATGGGACGGATGGACAGATAGAGCTTCTGGGAGGAAGCTGTGACCTTAAAACCACACAACCCACGTGTGGCTTCCACCAGGCCCTGTCCCTCCAGAAGTTATTCTAAGGGGGACATCAACCGTGTGCTCCCAAAATGCCCATCTTGTAGGCCTAAGAGGTCAGAAGCCATCTGTATGGCTTCAAATAAGGTTAGAGCCATGAACGGCAGCTCCTCATGGTATCGTGATGTTAGAGAAATGCATTTCCTGTTTGGAGGATGGGCAGCCTGCTGCTGGTGGGAGACAAAATCTGGCAAGGCCTTTGTCGTAAGCTGCCAGGCTTTATCTCAAGTCAGGAGAGTGAGGGAGAAGATGACCATCTTGGCAATTTGTCACTTCATTACCTAGCCGTGGCCCATCTCCTTATCTGTCTGCCTACCAGGGAGTCTAACTCCTAGTCTCTCTCTGTGCCACACACTGCCCTACCCTTGTCTCCCTCCAGGGCGGCCTTTTCTGGTTTTCCCACCTGGTCGCACACCACCTCTGGGGTCTTCTTGCTCTAAGTCCCAGATGCACAAAGCTGCCTAGATATATCCTCACCCCACCCCCACCCGATGCACTATTTGCACGCAGTCCTTTGTCTTCTTGACTGTGTCCATGCGCACCCTAGGAACCTGCCACCTGCCTCCTGCCAAGAGCCACCGGTGACATCTAGCTACTTGGCCTCCTGACCAGCATTGCCAATGGCCAGCTGTTCCTGTTCTATCTTGCACCTGCTTCCAAGATGGCCCCCAGCCCCCATCTTCCTTCACCAGTGGCTTCTTGGAGAGTCCTTGGGCTCCATCCAGCCCCTTTCTCCCCTTGCAGACTCTCCACACCATCCTTGGATAATCTCCCTCCTGGACCATTGGTCTTTTCTGATGTCAGTCAAGCTCATGGTGGCCCAAGCTGACCTCATCATTTCCTCCCTCATCTGGTCCCCTTTAGACTCACTATCCCCTAAGTGCCCTTCCCCAGCCAGGACATCTCTTCCTAATGCTGCGACCTCAATATACTGTCCCATGGTGTGGTGACCGCGATCATAAAATTATTTTTGTTGCTGCTTCATAACTGTAATTTTGCTACTGTTATGAATGAAAATGTAAATCTCTGTGTTTTCTAGTGGTCCTGGGAGACCCCTGTGAAAGGTGGTTCAACATCCAAGGGGTCAAGATTCATGGGTTGAAAACCACTGGCGATCCTAAGGAAAGTTGCCGTCCTGTGGGAGAGGAGGCTGCATCACCCTCTGGCTCCTCTTGGCTCCTTCCCTTGTGCGCCTTCCACTGACCAGCACATACACGCACGCTGGAGTAAAATTCTAAGCACAAGTTGCAGCCAGCACTCCGGCTACTGTCTTCCTTTGTCTGCCCCTTCTCATTCCTTCCCAGACAGGAAGGGACAGACAGAGGGAGGTGGTATCAGGGGGACAGCACTCTTCGGTGGCTCTCTCTGTGAGTCTTCGCCATCCCAGTAGAGTCTGGTGCCTAAACATGATGGATCTCAGACTGCAGGACTGGGGTGGGATCGCTGGCCTCAGCCTTCCAGCCGCAGAGTGTTTACAACCTCCCCTGGAGAGACATTTAAGAAGTTGCTTTGACATCTCTGGCCACTGGTTTTATTGAATAAAAGACGATAGATGAGGGACAGGGAAGGAAAGAGAGCATCCCTTTATCCTGTGGCACATGTCCACGGCACGGGTGACAGCTTCGGGGAAGGTGGCCTGGTTTGTGCTGGTCACTCCTCAGATAACTGGCTTGGGGTTTTCAGCCTACACTGGGCAGCCTCACCTTCACTAGCATCCATGAAAAGTCGCACCAGAGTTGGAGACACTGGCAATGAATGGGATTGGGATTTAGAGAGCAGAGTGCTGCATGAGGAGGGCCAGGCCAGACACAAACTGTTTTAATCTGTTACTAGGACAGACTAAAAGGGGTGTGTGTGTGTGTGTGTGTGTGTGTGTGTGTGTGTGTGTGTGTGTCGGTGATGGCATGTGTGTGTGTGGGTGCATGTGTGTGAATGTACTTATCTGTCCATGTGTATGTGGAAGCCAAAGGTCAACACTGATTGTCTTCTTCAATTATTTGCTACCTTTTTTAGTTTAATTTTTATTAATTATAGTTTATTCACTTTGTATCTCAGCTGTAGCCCCCTCCTCCATCCCCTCCCACTCCCACCCTTCCTCCCTCTTTTTCTCCTATGCCCCCCAGTCAAATGATAGGGGAGGTCCTCCTCCCCTTCCATCTGACCCTAGCTTATCAGGTCTCATCAGGACTTGCTTCATTGTCTTCCTCTGTGGAGGTGATCAAAGAGCCAGCCCCTGAGTTCATGTCAGAGACAGTCCCTGTTCCCAGTACTGGGGAACCCTCTTGGACAGTGAGCTGCCATGGGCTACATCTGTGCAGGGATTCTAGGTTATCTCCACGCATGGTCCTTGTTTGGATTATCAGTCTCACAAAATCTCCTGTGCCCAGATTTTTTGGTTCTGTTGCTCTCCTTGTGGAGTATACTCACATATAAGTGGATATTAGACATAGAATATAGGATAATCATACTGAAATCTGTACACCTAAAGAAGCTAATCAAGAAGGAGGACCCTGGGTAAGATGTTCAAGCTTCATTCAGAAAGGAAAATGGGATGGACATCGGAAGAGAGAGAAAACAAGGAGCAAGACAGGAGTCTACCACAGGGGGCCTCTGAAAGACTCTACCCAGCAGGGTATCAAAACAGATGCTGAGACTCATAGCTAAACTTTGGACAGAGTGCAGGGAATCTTATGAAAGAAGGGGGAGATAGAAAGATCTGGAGGGGACAGGAGCTACCTTATTTTTAAAGACAAGTTCTCTCTCTCTGAAGCTGGATCTGGCAGCTGTGGTTGGACTGGTTAGCCAACAAGCCCCAGAGATCGTTCTGTCTGTAGCTCCTAGCACCGGGATATATACACCACCATGCTGTCTTTTCACCTGGTGCTGGGGATCTAAGCTCAGGTCCTCACTCTTGCACAGCAAGCACTTATTGACTGAGCCACCTGCCTAAGCCTCCTCACTGAATTCTTTGATCTCTCTTTTCTTTTTTGGTGATCAAAATCTAGGAAAGAGAAAACATCTATTTGGATTCTGGTACCAAAAATAAACCACGGAAGGCCAGACCAAAATAAAGTACACACAGAGGGAGGTTACCCCAAGTTCAGAAGTCACAGTGGCCTGGGGTAGGGCTTAATGAAAGAAACAGTGTTCATGGAAAGAGAGAGAGAGAGAGAGAGAGCGCTAGGTTTGTGGGATCAGCAGAGAGTGTTTGGGCCTTTATCCTCCACCCACTCTTCTCCAGAGCCAGCACTTGGTTCTCTCTCCTGAGGAAGGGACCCTGGAACTGCCCTTGGTGTAGGCCGGGGAAACCATACGTGTAGCGTGCTTCCTACTCTTCACTGGCCTCCATCCCGCCTCTGCTCTCTTGCAGCTGTGCCGCTCAGAGCCCCACAGACCCTCAGGGGCCCTGTCAATAAACAGTTTAGTGTCCCCAGTGCACTGGGAGGACACAGCAGCACCTGACCAGGTGTGGATCCGGCTCAGCCAACATCCACTTTGTCTCAGAAGGCACCTAGTTTACTTTCTCACATGGCACATAACGCCAAGGACACAGACTCGGCCACCGTGTCCCCAGTGAACTTTCTGTCAGCCACTGAGTAAATGAAATGGCCTCAGCAACGTTTTAAGAAATGTATACATAAGAATTCCTAACACTGCATATATGCTGTGGCTGATATGGCCTTTACCCACCACAATTTCACACAAAGCGCAAATTGTTGCAAAAATACGTGAACTCCACTCCTAGGTGGGTGCTTTGAAGAGATTGTTAGGTGTGTGGCTATTATTCACATGCCTTGGTTAAGTCCAGTCCCAGCTCTGCCATGAATCTCCGCTCACTCTAGAAAGGCTCAGAGCCACCATCCTGCAGAGGCGCCTCAGTCACAAAGCACAGGTGGACAGAGGCAAACAAAGAGCATCATGGGAGCCTGTGATGAAAACTGTTTTCTCGTAGCAAACAAACTTGAATGAACCTGGGAACTGTGAGTAGGCTGTGATTAAAACCCATTCACTTTCAGCTGAAAACTAGTGCTTTCTGACAAACCAGACCACACAGGGGCTCTGGGCACTGATCCAGGAATGTGTCCATTAAGGCAAATCTGTGGGTGTGGAGGCCACCTCACGGCCCCTTACTACCTGGGCTGGTACTAAGATGCAAAGCACATGGGTGATACTGTGATGGGGCAGGTGGACAGATGACCTCAAGAAGCTGCCTTCCTCGAGGGGTGCCAGAGATGCCCCAGTCATGCTTGGGGTAAGAGAGCCAGTGTCCCTCAGGAAGAGACCCCTTCACCTCTAGACGGGCTCTTGTCCTCTGCAGGTGGCTCGCGAACTTCAACCTTCCGTGGTGTGGATCCAAGACACAGAGAAAACCTTCTACAAAAAAGTCCCGCAGGCTGAGAAGCGGGTGAGTCTTCCATTCTCTCAGTTTCCCTTCCTCCACGGGGGCCCCTCACAAGGGGCCGTCTCTACCTTTCAAGAAAAAGTCTTAGCTTTTCAAGGCAGTAAAGGAGACAGGCTTTGAGCCTTCCACAGTAGGCCCTCTCTGCCCTAAGTGCTTGTCAGTATTTGAAAGAAGCCAGTGCCTTGGTTTTTATGAGGCATAATTTGGAAAAAAAAAATGGGAAAGAAGGAAGGAAGGAGGTTTTTCAGCCCAAGCATGATTCAGAGGAAAGAAACAACTTGCAGAACTCTGCTCAGTTACAGCCAGAGGCACACATGGAGTTATTATTACTATTTCCTATTGTTCCTAATAATAAATAGCAAAGGGCCCAAAATTCACGAACAAAGGCCATCAGCAGCAAAGCTAAGTGCCCTGCATTCAGAGCCTCTGGGGAGCTAAGTCTCAATTGCTTCCTTCCTTCTTTTCTCTCCTTTCAATGGCTCCCCTCCCCCACACTTCCCCCCACAAATCTCCAGCAAATTTCCCACAAGTTTAAAAAAAAAAAAGTACAGTTACCACCAGCTTGTTATTCCACACCAATTTGTACCAAAGCAAATAGTGGTTAGCTGTGAATTTCTGATTAAATCGGTGAGGATTTTAATCACTTATGTATTATACATCATTTTCAGCAGGTAGAGGTGATTTGGGTAAAGCCCCAAAGCTCAATCTTTGCTTCTCCAAATGAGCCCTGATTGCCCTGTCATTTCAAAACCTCTTAGGAAGACTCATTTGTTATTCTTCATCTGGGAAGCCGGGGCTTAGCGCCCTCTGCTGACCATGTTGAGACACTGAGGAAGAAAAGTCCCAGTCTGCCTGATGACAGATTTACCTAGGAGGGCGTCCTATGTCTTAAGAGCAATGCAGGGCTGTGATTACTCCGGGGTCATATATATGATGTCATCATAGTGTGTACTGATAACATACATGACTATTTGCTCTCCCACAGGACTTTAGCGTGGGTGATGTGAAACTCAGGCAGAATGGGCTGGTTCTGCCATTCACCTTAGCAGGCTGTGTCTTTCATCAAGTAACCTGACCTCTCTTAGTCTTTACTTATTTAATCATCAGCCAGAAGAACGCCTGAGTTCAGGAAATTTTTCTGGCTTCCTCTCCCAAGAGCTCTTAGCTCTATAGCAATCTAAGCCCACAGAGATTCTGAAGAATGTTATCTGCTTATAAATGAGAGATCCAAAGGCCAGTGGGGAGGGCTAGGGTTGCTTTTAGGGGGTGCATGGAGCAAGATGAGATACCTCAATGGGAACCAGTGTGCAAAGCAGGAAGCTGACAGAGATGGGGACATTGTTGGGCAGATGAACCACCTCCTCAGAGCCCACATCCACCCTTCCAGTCTTGTCTTCCTGATGCCACAAACACCATCCATAGCTGGGTCTGCTCTGTAAGATACAGAGGCTTATGGGGGCATAGCCTCACAGTGGACAAATTGAACTTTTGCTCTCTTCACACCGGTTAGAAGATCCTTGACTGTCAGGAAAATTTCGTGCTTTGAAGACCACAAATCACACCCAGACAAGTTCCAGAAGTCACTGTTCTATTGCTGTGACAGAACAACTTGGCCACGGCATCTTATGAAAGAGAGCATTCCGTCTGGTCCACGACAGCTTAGGGAAGCCGTCTTGATCTGGGAGCTGGAGGCAGAGTACTCACTGAGCATGGCATGCGTCTTGATACCTCAAAGCCTACTGAGACAGCGCCTTTGACAAGGCCTCACCTCCTGATCCTTCCCAAACAGTTCTATTGACTGGGAACCAAGCATCCAGATATATGAGTCTATACGAGCTGTTATCATTCAAACCACATAAAGTATCCCATTGAATTTGAGCAAAAATTTCCCTGAGGTGTCTGAACACAAGGCCCAGGGATGATCCACCACCCCAGCAGGGAGTGAGTGCTGGGCCACACATGGGCATGGCAGGTTCCAAAGGACCTTGGGCATAGAAAGTGCAGGCCTGACCCAGGGGAACATGGCCCCATGCTTTTCTGCCACGCTGAGGCTGAAGCAAGGTTAGCTCTACCCAAGTTCCTCAGCCACCAGGTCTTGGGAACCCGCAGCAGTGAACACATGTTCAGAAGGGGAGGATCAGCCAGGGCAACAGTTGCTACAGGGGACAAGAGGACTTGGGGCAGCATTCTCAGCAGCTCCTGGCCCAGTGTCCTTTTTCTCACAGGTCCCAGCCTCTATCCCAAAGACTCCTCTGGTCTCCAAGCTATAAATGCCCAGAGAAGAAAGCATCTTCCAGGAACACGAGAGGACAGGTTCTGGCTGACCACAGTCACAGAACAAAGAGCGAGGCCACTTGGCTCAAAATGGCTACCTGCCAGGCTGGGGATTCCAGGAACATCCCTCGAAATCTCATCCATGGTGACAGATCCTCTAGTACCTCTTACCTCGGATTAAGGCCCCCCCACAGTGAAGCTCATGACGCTTGTCCCATTCTTCACAATGAGGTGACAGATGGAAAAGGCTTGGCCAGCCGTGAGAAAACCTGAATGTGGAGCCTGTGTCGGGATGCCACACCTCTGTGGTGTAAAGGGTTCTGACAGAGAGGGAAGATAAAAGAGGCACAATAAACCCATGAGGGCAACCCCCAGCAACCCTGGGAGGAGGTCCTCTTTCACAAAAGAGAGCAGAGGTTTGAGAGACCAAAACCAGGAAGGGGTAATAGGATGCTCAGAACCAGGCTGACTATGGAGGCCACACCTTCAATCTGGGGGCCACTCACAGGCTGGAAGACCCTTAATGCAAAACTGCCTTTTTCTTCTGCCCCAGATCAAGGCCTCTGGTTCTCTCAGCCTCTCATAGCTCCCCTGGGACTAGATTTGATTCCTCCTGGGACCTGCCTTTGAAGACCTCTTGTCCTAGAAACCAAAAATGAAAAGCCCTGAAATTCCTCCTCCTGTTGCTCACTCCTGTTCCTTCATGTCACCCCAACAACCCCTGCATAGGCCTCAGAATTTTCAGAAAAGTCCAATCCTGGGGGGAGGAGGTCCCCGCCTCTGGTGCTTTGTGGAACCCAGCCCTGCCCTGGTAGGCCCTTGCTGGTGCCTGCCCCATGCTGTTGCCATTACCAGACGGTCAGTCACGTCAGCGACGAAGGTAAAGACTGAACCAGGGCTCCTGCTTCTGCTCCAGCTCCTGCATTTTCTGCATCATTACCCTTTGTTACTTCATCTAGCCCCAGCCTTTCCTGCTGCCACAATAGTTCTCCACCAGGGAATTGCTTGCTTTGTTGGCGCTGGCTGTGATGCTCGTTTTGTGGAGCTAACTGCAGAAAAGCAAATTGAAATTGCCGTGTGGATGCTAGCCACTAATTTGAAATTGCCCACAGTAATACAGTTGTGAGGGACTGGCAGGCCGGGGTGGGGGGGATGTGGAGGTGGCTAATCAGGAGACGTCCCCCAGCATGACTGATGAGCAGGCCTTGTGCTGAATGAACAGCTCTGAAACGGAACGGAACGGCACTGGCCTGAGCACTGGGGAGCCAGGGAACTGGATGAACACCACCCTGCTTTCTCATTCTTCACTCAAGGCAATGCCCCTCCTCGGCGTGAAGGTGTCCCACCTAGGGCCAACATACGTCATCCAAACAGGCTACTTAATTTCAGATCTCCCTGCCATTTTAGGACATGCAAATAGTAACATCCCACTTCAGAAGAGTGGGCACCGTCATCACCATAGCAACTGGACTATTCGGGTGTGTCCCTGTTTTGAGCCTTCCAGAACCCTCAGGTCAATCCTTTCTCCACCAGTCTTTGGGTGGCTCACATGTGCCCCCCTCCTGTCCTACCCACCCCTACAAAGCTTGTTTGCCCTACTCCACTTCTTAAAGGACTAGTCCACCCTCCCATCTCCACTCCATAGAAAATGCGTTTGGAAGGCACTATGGCACAAAAGTAGCACAGGACCCCTCTGAAAACTATAAAAGCACTGAGAGATTCAAAAGACTGAAACAGACAAGACAACATTCAGTTTAGTAGGTATGTGTGGGTTGAAGATTTAATGTTGTCAAGATGGAGCCAGGTTGCTAGCAGTGATAATCCACTGGCCAAAACCAACCTGGGAAAGGGAAAGGTATATTGCATCTTAAAGGTCCATTGAGGGAAGCCAGGACAGGTCTCAAGCAGGACTCGAGACTACTCACTGGCCTGGTCCCCATTACTGTCTCATCCTGATTTCCCAGTAATTCGGATCACCTGCCCAGGTGATCTAGGACCTAGGATTTAGGACAGTCATCTAGGACCTTCCAAGTCAAGCTTAGTCAAGAAGATGCCTCATCAATGTGCTCATGGGCCAATGTGATGGAGGCAGTTTCTCCACTGAGGCTCCCTCTTCCCAGATGGCCCTAGCTTGTGTTGTTAAACTCACCAGCTCAGATGACACTGCCTCAATATCCACCGACAGTGCAGCCACCATAAACATGGCAGCTGACTCATTCACATACGCTTAAAGCTAGCCCTAAAGCTTGTGTGGAAATTCAAGAGACCCAGCCAAAATAATTAAGCCTCCTATTTCTAGGGAGCTAAAAATCTTCCCAAAGAAGACACCAATTGACCATTAAGTTCATGGAAAGATGAAGAATATGATTAGTCACCAGTCCACAGGAGCCATGATGACCAAGGCTGGGTGTGGGCATCTCTGCCTAAGTTCCCTTGCCGTGCAGCCTCTTCATCTAGCTTTACCAGTCAGACTTAACTCCAAAGCAGGCATTGTCCATGGCAACAGGGCCAGCTCTACTTCTTCCTGGCATCCAGATCAGAGCCCATCCACACCCCAGCTTCTCCCTCTTGGTGCAGATGTGGCACTGAAATGTCACAGCCTGGAGCTGCCATCGAACTGCTGACACAGTTGCAGAGGCCTTGGTGACATGAGAGCCAGGACTTTGGGTCCTTGTGGTGCCTTGAGCAGCAAAGGAAAACTTGAGTCCATCTTCTAGACAGCTCAGAACAAAGTGGTTCCTTCTGCAAAGAAATCAACCTTCTGGGGTGGCCCACTGAGAGTCAAGGTCTTGGGTCCTCCGTCGGGTGCTTCCTTCTTTCCTTCCTTTCCGTCCTTCTTGATTCCAAGTCTGAATTCCAGAGGCCAGAGGCAGGAAATTGCCACCAGAAAAACTCAGCCAGGTAGGAGGGGCTTACCAGGGCTCATTCAGGGACACACTTGAGAAGCTTCGAGTGGAACCTTACGGCGGCCTGGCATGCCCGTCAGCACACATGACACTTCATTTTCTCCACTCTTGGTTCTTTTCTCTACGTGACCTAATCTTTCCCCTCTCTTTCCTCCTCCCAGAATGAACCAAAACGCCTAAAAAGACACCTTCCCAGAATGCTAAAGCTCCTGAAGCCAAACGACAGGATCCTGATCGTGGGGACCACACAGCGCCCCTTTGATGCTGAGCTCCAGCCATTCTGCAGAGTGTACCAGAAGATTATCCTGGTTCCCAGGCCCGACTATGCCTCCAGATATGGCAAGTATCGCAAGGCTTTCCAGGAGGCGCCAAGCCTGGCTGCCAGGGTATGCTCGCAGGCGAGGAGAGTAGGTGAGCTTAGAGCAGAAGCTCTCAACCTGGGAGTTGCGACCCCTTTAGTGGTTGCATATCAAACATCCTGTATATCAGATATTCACATTACAATTCAGATGTAGCAAAACTGCAGTTATGGAGTATTAACAAAATAATTTTACGGTTGGGGGTCACCATAACATGAGGAACTGTATTAAAGGATCACAGCAGTAGGAAGGTTGAGAACCACTGGCTTAGAGGAACCTGGGCACTTCAGGGCTAAGGTTGCTAGTCATTCTATCTGCAAATAGTCACTCTCCCCAGCTTCATAAAAAAATCCGTGTTACATACATAGCAAGGAAGAGCTGTTATGCCTCTACCCATCCAGGGCCTGTCTATCATGTAGGACCACAGTGGTCCTCCACAGCCAGCCAGGCCAGACGAACAAAGGCAAAGAGGTTGGTGGGTGTCACAGGTGACATGACAGGAAAGAAGACTAGCGAGCAGTGAGAAAGCTGGGCAGAGAGGAGGGGAAATGAGGAGACCAGGGAGAGAGGGGGAGAAAGGAAGAGGCTGTGCAGACGGGACCAGTGAGGAGGAGAGAAGAGAGAGGGCAGTGCCGAGCAGCAGTCAGGACCCTGCCCCTGCAACAGATTAGAAGATCCCGTTCCTCTCAGGGACCCCGTCCCTCCTCATCCCACTCCCTTTTCCTTTTCTCTCATTGTACGTATTTTACATCACTTTATTGCAAAGAGACGGCATGTTCATTTGAAGGGACTACAGCATTAGGCTTAACTTTGTATTGAGTGGCTTCAGTTGTCTGACAGAATTACAGCCTTTAAAGGGAAGCTACCAAGGGACAATAGGCAATTGGGGTCTATGACAAAAATGCCATGTATCTCCAAGAACTCGGCTCATGCTGAAGATTCTTTACTGAATGTTTTCTGGCTTCATCATCATGGTGGAGACGGCACCCCTTCCTCCTGGGCAGAAGGTGTCTCTCCTGGGCTCAGGGCCTCCCCACCAAGCGCATCCTCCTCACACATCTCTTTCCCGGTGGTGATTCATCTGGAGGCCATTTCTTGCCATCATCATAAATGCCGTCTGTGTTTCCCACAGTGGCCCTGACGCTTCCACTATCAGTGTGGCAGAGCATCTGTCTGAGAGGGAGAAGACTCCTGCCTCCACGGTGACCGTGGTGGTCTCCCCAGCCCTGCAGTCGGGCTGCAGATTCATAGCTGGACCACTGCTCTGCCACTTATCTCCCGGCAGCAAGAACTCCAGGGGGGTGCGAGCACATCTCCCCCACCACTTGTCAAACACCACAGAGCTGAATGGGGTATGGTGGGCACAGAGAGGTCAGCAGGGCAGCTGGGGTCAGGGGCTCGAAGGAAGGCTCACTGGACACAACTCAGTGCCTGCCTCCCTCCTAGTCCCGAAATCGACCTGCTCTGAAACCACCCCTGGGCTGACGAAGGTGCGGTCCTCAGAAGCTCCCTGGAGCACCCTAATGAACGCTCCACTCTAGCTGTTCTTCCCCAGCATCGGCCTGACTGATTACACAATTCCTCACAGGCCCTGCCCAGCCAGGGTGGAGTGGGTGAGCTCAGCCGTGACAGGTTTGTTTGGAATTCACGGCCTCAGAGGGTCAGTGTCTCACCAAACCATGTCACTTAGCTCTTCTGCCATGAAGCTCGAGATTAAATGCACGTTAAGATACTACGTCAAGGCAGGCCCAGCCAGGGTCAGGTGAGTTAGGGGCATCAAAACCCAAATGGCAGAGACCAGATCTTACCCTTTCCCACGGAGGAAGGGGGTGTGGGTTGGGCGACAGAGTGAGGGCCTTCCCTTCCAAAAGAGGAAGCCAAAGTCAGGCTCAGAGTGAGGGAGTGAGGGCCCAGGCAGGCAGGGGAGAGCTTGCCGTACCTGCAGGAGGCCCTGAGCCTGGACCCCAGCTGCACGCCTGTCATCCCAGGTCTGGGGAGGCAGCTTTCCATCTCCTCTTGCCTGTCAGCCAGCTTAGCCAAGTCAGTGAGCTGGGTTTAGCAAGAGACCCTGTCTCATGAAGTGGGAACAACTGAGGAAGACATGGGACACCAACTTGGGCTCCTGCATGAGCATGCGCCCACGTACGTGTGTACACACACACACACACACACACCTGTACACATACACACACTTAAACAGCCCCTTACTCTCATGAACACTCTTGAGTCCTGACAGGTAACCCCACCCACACCAGCCCCGAACCACCTGTGCTTGATCCTCCTCATCTGCACTCCTGGGTCACACCAGCCACCGGCCAGTCCTGGGCCTGCTGTGCAGCTCCTGTCTCCAGTGAGACTTTCTACACCAGCTCCCGGCCCTGCGGAGAGGAGCTCAAGAGTCACCCGCCACAGTCACCACCGGAGTCCATTGGTCTTTTCTATAGATTGAACAGGCGCAGGCAGAAACTATTTGCAAGTGCTACTGTTGTCTAGTTGAGGCTGTTGTCTGCCATTTTTGCTAGGAATTGTATTTCTGACTTCTAACTCAGTGGTGGTTGCATTTAGATGCAATTTCTCCCTGTTTGCCACACACACACACACACACACACACACACACACGCACACACGCACACATACATGCACACACATACACACGCACACACTGTTCGGTAATTCCTGTTTCCTAGTTGGTGTTTACAGGGTTAAAAAACTTGAAGGCAATGTTAATAAATTTGAGTAACAGCAGTAATCCAGGTAAAGAAAAAAACCCTGTCACCCATGGGGTACTTCCAAGTATGTCCCTGAAGGAAGGAGGTACCTTATTCCTTCTCCCACTAGCACGAACTGGGGATCCAACCCCAATAGATCCACCAGGGATATAGTAGAATTTCAGGAAGTTGGCTGTTGTTCTGAGCCGGTAGGAAGTCCTTATGGCCCTCGCTGTCTCCCCACAAGCTCCAAACCCATCATTTCTAAAGCTGCTGTGAACTGGCTCATTCAAGGGCCGTGCTGCCAACGCAGGGGGCCAGTAGGCGTGAGCACTGGGTTAGTTCTCGTCTGGGCTGCAGTACTCCCTGACATGGCCATGGGCCTTCCCTCAACCACTTTACCCCTCACAGAAGTAAGCAGAGCTTTACATATTGGCCAGATTTGGGTGAATGTATTCACGGTCATTGAATAGACTGGCCTGACGTGTCAGTCATCACAGCTCATTAAAATGGTCATTTTAAAAACGCAGTTTCGGTGTTCCTTAAGGAAGTTAACATGTTCTGGGGTCAAACCAGACCTTCCTAACGAAGATACAGTCATAGGAACGCTGCTTACCTAGCCCAGTTTGAAAACAACAGGCCCCAGCAACCCCCTTGAAGCTCCCTGAACAGCTGGGACATAGCTCACTGGACATGGTGTTATTTTGAAGACTTCCATTTGTCTCTAAAGTTAAGTATCTCAAGCATCTTAGGACTCATTTACACAGCATCCCTGTGCTCTGACAGAAAGGTCCCCCAACGCCAACACCCATCTGATTGGCTGCAGCCTGCCAGCATGTTGACAGCTGTCAGGGAAAAAAGCAGAAAACACACTTGCCATACTTGGTCCAGTGTGTGGTGTTACTACTGGAGCCAGGCACCAGCTAATAAAAATTGGACTCTATATTCTTATTCCAGTTACAACAATAATACAAGAAACGACCCTTATAATTAAAAAGAGAAAGACATTCATCTCCCACACGCCCAAGGTGAATTTCCAATCTTGAAAGTTTTTAAATATCTTCACATTTGCCACATTAAAACTGAATGAGTTTCATTTTTCTTTGTGAATTCATGAAGCACCTGAGTTGGGACTACAGACTTAAGGGTCTCCAGTATGCATCACAGGGCAGAAAAGTCCCCAGAGAGGCATCTAGCTGATTCAGCTGTCTGCTCATTTGAATTGCAAACCAGCTGGGGCGGGGGTCTCCGAGATTCTTCTCCAGGAGACCGGCTTTGAATACAGAGCTTGGCCAGACGTTGCTGTAATTTTGTTCTCTGTTTTTTCCCACTACCATGGATGTGACAGTTCTGTGGAAAGAAATCATTATTCGCAATGGAGGTTTGGTCACCAATTCACTGAACATCAGTTGCCTATCTAAAGTCACTGATGGCTTCACACAAGGTCAGATCGTCAATGTGATCAAAGAGGTGCTCACGGACCGCAGAATCCGGCAGCAGGCTCACAAACCGCTCACGGCCATGGAGTTCATCACCATGATGACCAGCATGAACCCAGTGTACAAAGAGGAAGAGGAGAGTTTTAAGGTAACAGAACACCCTGCCAGCCAGCCCCTAGGCAAACACTGGTCACGTGGCCTCCCGCCCCTCCAGTTTTGTGGATTTGAGTCCTGACCCATAGAGTGAAATTCTGAGGTCAGAGCCTTTTGTGCCTCAGGGCATTTGTCTTGTGAATTCTATTTGCACCTTGGAGGTAGTGCTCCAGTCTTCCAGATAGCAGAAAAACCGTGACCTATAATGATATAGCGTAACAGCCGAATGGCAGGATCAAGCAATTGCTTGAAAGCCGCTGATTTCAGAGCTGGGAATGTGGGGTGATGCTCAGTGACACAGCATTTGCCTAGAGTGCACAAGGCCCTGGGTTCAGTCTCCAGCCCTGCCGGCCACAAACAAACCCTGCCTCTCTCTTTTTCTTCACTCTCCACTTCCCTCCCCTCTCTCTTCCTCTCCCACTCTCTCATCCTTTATTTTGCTTTCACTTCACATTTTGTATTATGGAACAAGTTTGGGATAGGGAAAACTATGCCTGAACTATCTATCTTTCAAGCTGAAGCTATCTGGCCCCTGTCCTCACGGTGCCCTTCCTTTCTTAGTCTCCTGTATGCCTACAATAAGAAACACGAGACAGCTTGTCTGTTTTCAGTTTGCCAGTGTTTGGGAACATTCTAATGTTGTTGATGGGAGGTTTCAGATCCAGGGGACATCTAGAGATCTCTCATCCATCTGGCCCATGTCCTTCTTTTCTAGGAGGAATGAAAGGCCATGCTTTCTCTCATCCATGTAGCTGGCCCAGTCAGGAATGCTGGGGCTGACAGACATTCCTCAAAGGCTTTTTTCTTTCCTTTAGCTCAGTGGCTCTTAACCTTCCTGATGTTGTGACCCTTTAATACAATTCCTCAGGTTGTGGTGACCCCCAATCATAAAATTATTTTGTAGCTACTTTTGCTACCATTGTGAATTATAATATAAATATCTGTGTTTTCCCATGGTTTGCTCTCTATGTGGCCCTGGCTGTCCTGGAACTCACTCTGTAGACCAGGCTGACCTCAAACTCAGAGATCCACCTGCCTCTGCCTCTCAGTGCTGGGACTAAAGGGGTGCACCACCACCGCCTGGTGGGATTTTTATTCTAGCCTGTTAGCTGTTTAACATTCTGGTGCCTTAACTGTTCATATCAGTTTAAATATTCATTATCTCCCAGTAATATAATCTTTTCTAAAATTTGTCCTTTTCATTTTTTTATTCCTTCTTAAACACCAATTTTCCTCCTTATTTTGAGGAATGTGGTTTAGCATGTCAAAACCTAAACCTGTTTTGTTTTGTTTAGTTTTTGTTTTTTTTTTTAACTTTGCAAATTGATCTCTATTTGTTTCTGTGTGACAGGTGTCTGAGGACTGACTTGGACTCTGGGCATAAATGTACATGCCTCTTGCTACCTTTCTTGGTAGATTTAGTCATTCTACTCAGCTCTAAAGAAAATGAACCATTTCCTACCATTAGCCTCCTCCCCAGGCCTTGGGTAGCACAGGCACAGTACCTACCCCCAAATAGATGTTCAATAGATTTGTTAGTGACACGTTTTTAAACAGATGGGCATGACACCATCGTGCTCCTGGGTATTGTGAGGACTCTTGCTGACATGGTGCACAACTGGGCCATAAATTTTCCCTAACTGTGCTCCTGAGAATGTATCTACTGAGCTCATGGCTCCTCATGAACATTCTGTCCCCTTCCTTGGATGTGGTGGGGAAAAAAAACATGTAATGTTATAGATGATAGAATCATTTAGACCTCACAGCCTTCTGTTTTATGGGTAAAGAGACTGAGCTATAAAGAGGTGTGGTGGATAAATAAGAGTCCCTCAAAGAGACCTTGATACACAGAGCTCCCCAGGCAGAGGAAGAGCAAGTTTGCTGTTGGCTGGCCCTAAGATCCTCAGACTGGCCTGAACTATTCTCCTGAGTCCAACAGAACCCTGAAAGTAGATGAGGCTGTCAGAAGAGGGAATTAGAAGGGGGCAATTGAAGGGGTACTCATTGGTATGTCAAGAATCCTAAGGTCACCAGCGTATGGATGGGCACGGAACACCGACCAGAAGAGCAGAGGTCTATGGAAGCCTCTCCTCCGGGGCCTCCAGGAGACACACAGCCTTGCTGCTGCCTTAACCTAGGCCAGTAAGACCACTCCAGAACTGGAAGGTGCTAAACATGCTGCTCTGAGTACTTGTTTGAGCAATTTGTCAAAAGAGCAGTAAAGACAGAAAAGCAATACAAGAAAAGAGTAGCTCTACAGGGCACTCAGCCAAGAGCAGCAGAGCTGTGATCTGTGGCTTACTCCAAAGTGAAGTTCATTAGCTGGACCCTGTGCCACAGAATCCCGAAGTCTATAAATCAAGAACTCAGTACTAGAAGTCCCTGACCACCTCACTTATAAAAATAGAGCCAAGGCTAAGAGCAGGAGGAGGGTCTTTAGGTAACTCTCAGATAGGCACTAGCCTCTAAAACAATGCACTTGGCCTAGTCTTGGGAACATAAGATACACATGTGCAGGAAACTTTGGCTCAGGCAAAGGCAAAATGGGCTCTGCAAAGAGTTGGGATGCTTTCAGGCCACACCAGGAAGTTTGTTCAAGACATTCTACATGGTATCAGAGACCTTACTGTCATATGGTCTGTGAAGGACCCACTGCTCCAGGGCACCAGAATCCCAGCTTGAAATGCTAACATGTTTCAAAGAGTCACATGATCATTAAAACCCCTGAAATCACATCAAAGGCAAAAAGGAAAAACATTCTATGTGCAAGTGCATCCAAGGTCAAGGAACATCCAGTTCCTATAAGAAACATGAATATTACTCAGCAATAAAAAACAAGGAAATCATGAAATTTGCAGGTAAATGGTGGGATCCGGAAAAGATCATCCTGAGTGAGCTATCCCAGAAGCAGAAAGATGCACATGGTATATACTCACTCATATAGACATATAATATAGGATAAACCTACTAAAATCTGTACACCTAAAGAAACTAATCAAGAGGGAGGACTCTTGCTAAAATGCTCAATTCCTATCCAGAAAGGCAAAGAGGATGGACATCAGAAGAAGGAGAAAAGAGGGAACAAGTCAGGAGCCTGACACAAAGGACCTCTGAAAAGCTCTGCCCTGCAGACTATCAATGTAGATGCTGAGACTTATGGGTAACCTTTGGGCAGAGTGCAGGGAATCTTAGGAAAGAAGTGAGAAACAGTAAGATCTGGAGAGGACAGGAACTCCACAAGGAGAGCAATAGAACCAAAAAATCTGAGCACAGGGGTCTTTCCTGAGACTGCTATTCCAACCAAGGACTATGCATGGAGATAACCTAAGACTCCTGCACAGATGTAGCCCATGGCAGTTCAGTATCCAAGTGGGTTCCATTGTAATAGGAACAGGGACTGTCTCTGACATGAACTGATTGGCCTGCTCTTTAATTACCTCTCCCTGAGGGGGAAGCAACGTTACCAGGCCACAGAAGAAGATGATGCAGCCACTCCTGATGAGACCTAATTCACTAGGATCAGAAGGAAGGGAAAGAAGTCCTCCCCTATCAGTGGACGTGGGGAGGGGCATGCATGCAGAGGGTGGAGGACAGGAAGGATTGGGATTGGAGGAGGGAGAGAACCACAGGGGTGATACAAAGTGAATAAAGTGTAATTAATAAAGAAAAAAAAAACGTGACTCTCGATGAAGACAAGTTCATAATAAAGGTATTATGACACACAAAGAAAAACACAGGGTCACCCAGAACATACCAGTAACAGAACTGGAGCCACTAAGAACTTACAGAAAATTCTGAAGGACACTACATATTGAATATAATTAAACTACAAAAGGCCAGAATCATCACAGAGGGAAGAACACATACACTTGAGAAAAAGAACCAAATAGAACGTCTGATATTGAAAAGAAAATAAACATTAAAGTAAAAATTCAGTGAATATGCTATTTGTTGGTTAGATATAACTACCTAATTGTGTGGGTGGGAAGAAGAAGAAGAAGAAGAAGAAGAAGAAGAAGAAGAAGAAGAAGAAGAAGAAGAAGAAGAAGAAGAAGAAGAAGAAGAAGAA